CTAATCATAATTTAAGTATCGATGTTCTCTGGGAAAACCACCCAAGTATTTTGGTACTGGTATGATGCATCCATAGCCTCATAAAAGCCTAAACCATGTTCAGACACATTGTGCATTTCCATTTCTGTTATCAATCAAAGTGATTGATTCCTAGTTTTTGTTTTTTGGCTTGCTAGATATCAGATATATAAATTGGTTTTGTCATTCTGTCATTGATTTCTTTTATCTGACACAATATGACCTGGCCTACCTCAGAAGTGAAACCATAGCTGAAGTATTCAGATTCCCTTAGAAACTGTTTGGACATGAAAACTTTAAACAGTAAACTCTATTTGCTAAGGAAATTGTGTAAGATTTGTCTGGAAAAATGTTTTTGTAAGCGCCTCAACATTTTGGATGTTTGCAAATAGGCTCATCACTAAATTAATAGGGCTAACAATAATGAGCAGGTATGGTTACTGCCAAAATAGAAGTATGATATTATAAAAAATGTGCTATTGGGATACCGGAGTTACAGTATCAGTACACAACATATATTATTTTGCAAGCAGAACAATAGGAGCTATTGTCCTTTTAGATACTTGCAGAATAAAGTACTGTTTGTCCTTTTTACTCTATGACTGTATAATTAGTCTAATTGTCTCTACTTCTAAATGATAGTTTGTGGTTTCTGCTGTCTTTGTTGAATGAATCCCTGTTATATCTGATTACCTGTAAAGTTAAGTACCCTGCCTTAATTTTTTACCATGTATAACCAACACTTTTTAACCCCTTGATGACATAAGTTGTTTTGTTCTCTAAAATAACACTAAGTGGCATAACCATAAACACTACAGTTTGATGTAGTGGTTATGGTCCTAGGAGTGCATTAAGAAAGAAAAAAAAGATAAAAAGAAAACCACAAGTTTTAATTAGAGGATAGCTGAACGAAGTAGAGGAGCCCCATATTGTCATGCCTACTGAACACCTCAATAATAGCAGAATGACTATCCCATAAATAAAAAAAACGAATGGGAGTAAGTGAACTGAACTTGTGAGAAAATATTCCCTCCTAACAGAATATAAAAAAATATATTATCAAATAAATTATGTTCTTTTCACCAACATCAACTGCCCATGCCTCTCTTGTGACCATTTGGTGCTTATTTTTTGCAAAAAAGTAATCCTGGTTTGAGTTAGCTACATATACTTTTTTAACTAGGTATCCAAATCAAATTGCAATGCATCCCAACATATTCTTTGATCACGGAGGATGATTATTTTTATGTTATAACATTCTTGCTCTTTTTTGTTGGCAGTATGGCATACCATACTATACCACACTATATCACAGATGCTCAATAGGATTGAGATCTGTGGAATTTGGAGGCCACAGCAACACCTTGAACTCTTTATCATGTTCTTTAACAGTGTTTGCAGTGTGGCAGGGTGCATTATCCTGCTGAAAGAGACCACTGCCATCAGGAATGCCATTGCCATGAAGGGTTGCATGTGGTCTTCTTGCAGTACACTGATCTGACACTGATTTAACAACCCTTTGATTAATCTAATTAGTTCTTCCTCTAGATTGGTAGTACATGTCAAAGTAACATCCATATGAATGCCAGGACCCAATATTTCCTAGCAGAACATTGCACAGAGCGTAAGTCCACTGGCCTGCATATACAATAAAAAATTCGCTTAAATCAATGCAATAAATCATTAGAATAAGTGTTTTAAACATACTTTATTCAGTACTATATCTATGTTAATCTATTTTAATGTGCTTAGAAAACTTGTATTAAAAATAAAAAAATACTGTCCTGTGAGTTTATTTTGCATTTCCCTTCAGGTCATGACTACAGCATATTGATGTACAGTATATTACAAAATAAACCTTGCACAATATTTACACAGCTCAGACAATTTTACTTATTCATGATGCATAAATATTTCTTAATGATATCTCCAACAGTTCGAGGGTAAAAAAAGTAAAATGAAATTTTTTTTAATAAAAGTATTTTAATATTAACTAAATAAGCCATTTTAATACAGAACTGTGGGGATTCAATCTGTTAAATAGTATGAAACAATGTTTAATAATTAAGTGTGTTGGTTTTGTATGCTGACTTTTAGATAAATATACAAATTGCTTAGATCCCAGAACTAAATGCAGCAAATTAACAGTTTTAATGAATCCCAATATATCTTTTCTTGATCTGTATCAGTGTTTTTTTACATAGATCTATTGTGCTAAACTAAAATAACATAGAACAAAAGTTTTATTATGTAGTGTGTAATGTTCTCATTGTGTTACATTGAAAAAGGAAACCGACAATCTACAATTATAGAGCAGAACAAATATATAAATGAATGATATATAAGATTTTTTATTTACTTTCAGATATATACCACAAGCCTTTACGAAGTCATATAAGTCAAATTATGTCCAAAACTCAGTAACTAATAACAGTACAATCTAGAACAATTAAGAGAAGCATAGGTTTTTAAAGCACCATTGGCATGGGCCTACTATGTAGGGGGTAGCAATCATCCAAGCAGATCTTTGGAGATGTTTTGCTGGCTCATTTCACCTGGTCTCTACTTATTTGAGCTGTGAAGGCTGAGATAAAGCATCAAATTGTTTATAGAAACATAGAATGTGATGGCAAATAAGAACCATTCAGCCCATCTAGTCTGCCCAATTGTCAAAATACTTTCATTAGTCCCTGGCCTTACCTTATAGTTAGGATAGCCTTATGTTTATCCCACACATGCTTAAGCTCCTTCACTGTGTTAGCCTCTACCACTTCAGCTGGAAGGCTATTCCATGAATCCACTACCCTCTCAGTAAAGCAATACCTCCTTATATTATTTTTAAACCTTTGCCTATCTAAGACAATGTCCTCTTGTTGTGGTAGTTTTTCTTCTTTTAAATATAGTCTCCTCCTTTACTGTGTTGATTTCCTTTGTGTATTTAAATGTTTCTATCATATTTTCCCAATCTCGTCTTTCCTCCGAGCTATAGCTGTTCCCTACTGAGACCATAGGCAGCATGAAAGAGCAAAAATATAGAAAACTATATAGTCATTGAACTACCCCTATTTTAACCTGCAAGCATCTTGGCAGCACTAGGCATATGTGCAAGTCAACAACAGCCTAGCACTAACTCATGGGAATGTTCTGGTTTACTGCAGAATTTTAGCTGGATCCCCTTTTATAACACAGCATATTCACAATATCTGTGGATCACATTAAACAGTGTTCCCAATGCCTCTCAGAAATCGCTAAATGCAAACTGAGATTACAAGTGACACTATGTACACCCCAAAGATTTTTGCAACTATACTGTACACATACTTACCATATTCACATCCATTGTGGGGTTTAATTTCAGCGGAGGATAAGATAAACTAAATTATCCAGGTAATGTTGATAAAGAAGTGGTATTTTGTGTGAAAAAGTATAAATGTTGAGAGCAATTCTATTGCTTTCCAGAGTGATTCCTTCTTAGTCAGCACTTTGCTCCAGAGGAGCATTATTTTTTATGTCCTCTGGTATGATGGCGTTGTGTAGGTATGGCAAGGTGGACAAAGAACAAAGCAGAGAGAGTGAAACAGGTGAATATATACATTGTGACAAAGTACGCCTTTCCTTTGGTACATTGTTCTGGGATTAGGGAGTCACACACAGTCTTTTCAGGCTTCAGAAAAACATTACTCACTAGATGTAATACAATTACTTGCTCTTTTTATGGTGACTCCAAAATTCAACAGTGTGCAGTAAAGTATAACAAAGTTTAACAAAGTAAAGAAAAACAAAACCCTTGCTCTTCTGAGCATGAACTTAACAAAATAATAAACTAACTGGGTTGGATAGCTTGTGCATTTCCCAACATAAATATACACCTTTTCGTTTTAGGTTCTTTCAGCTTTCTCTTTCAACTCACAGGAAGAAAAAACAGAAAAATACAAGAACACAACCTCCCTTCCTTCTTGGCAGGGGAGTACATAGTAGCACCTGCAATTAACTATCTTTTCAGGTGAGGTAAATCAGAGTGTTGCAACTCTGGAACCAGACTCCTCTCCTGCAGTTTCCCAGCAACCCCCAAAATGTGGAGTGGAGCACTGGCCCATCCTACTCTCCAAGTGCTCCACCCCAGGGCCCAAACACACACTAATAGAAAGTGCAATATTAATTTTAAAACAACATATTTCCCTGGGGCTAATCTTCTGCATTACACAAAGCTGGAACCTTGCAGAATTTGGAGAGATATATAAACTCCATCCAGCACAATGCTTTGCTTTCAGTCACAATATGTATTTTTGAATCATAGAGGTAACTATTTTTCCCCGGATATATCCATGGCAGCACTACGTATGGGTATAGCTCCTCCCCTTCTCAATTGGACAGGAACACGTCCTAAATAAAAGAGACTCCCCCCTATACCACCTCAGTCTTTTTTTCCTGTCTACTTCTCAGGGACAGTGGAGATTGCATCTCCTAACATTTTTCTTTCGTAACTTCTCCCCATGGAAGCCTCAGGACACGGCGACTCACCAAGGGCGACCCCCTGGAGGATTCTCCCCTTAACGACCAGGGAGCTATGCTGCAGTAACCCTATAGGTAGCAGCTGGATGTGCCAGACCCAGGGAGGTGGTAATTCTCACAGAAGGGTTCACCTACTTGCTGCAAAAAAATTTGGGCTTCTTGGCTTTCCCAATAAAGATGGCCTGCCCTATCCTCAGGATGTAAGTGGCAGTGGATTAAGAACTTACCTGACTGGGGGTGGGCTCCTGTTTCCTTGTGGCTGATCCATTTCGGTCGTGGAACGCATGGAGGAACGCACGCCGATATCGCTAGCACTTCCGGTTTCGGCACTTCCCGTTCGTCACTTCCTTTTTTTCCGGCCTACCTTTTCCCTCTCTCCAGCAGTGGAACGCAGGTGGAACACACGCCAGAGGAAGGCCAGCAGCAGGGGGATTTACTTCCTGGTTCGGCATCCTATATTTAAAGGGTAAGCACCTCTATTCTGTCAGTATGCTGTTTGATGTATCTCTTCATAACTGGATTAAACTTATGTCTTCTGGCTGCAGGTAAGTGACATTTCTTGTCCTTTTATTATAATTTCTCTATTCCCCAGTCCTTTTTCAAGGCAATAATTGGTTGCTGGAAATTCTATTTTTTTTCTAGCTGCCCATACTATGGATTCCCCCGGTCAGGCTTCGAGAAATAGGTCGAGAAAGAGGTTCTAAATAAGTCACTACAAAAATTTTAAAGACACAATACTAATTTTAAAAAAAAGAGTGCATTTCAGACTTCTGACTGAAGCATTTTCAGTTCTGCCCACAGATCCTCATACAAGAAAAAGAAGGATAAGACCCCCTTATGTGAAGCTTGTGACGACAAGGTACTTCCTGGGAAAAGGCTCTGCTTAGCTTGTCTTAAAGCAGCGGCAGGCCATACTGAACCAGATCCAGATATTCTTTCTTACATCCGTCAAGCAGTTTCAGAGGGTCTTCGACAGTCTGAGAGGGCTAAGAAAAGACGTAGATCTTTTAGCCCAGAGGAATATGCTGACTTAAGCTCTGACGAATATGTACCCCCGGTATTTGAGCAAGACGAGTTGTCATCTTAAGATGAAGAATATGGGGCCTCTCCTGTCTTTATAGACAGTGTGAAAATAGAAGCTTTAATCAAGGCAGTTTGTGATACCTTGGAGCTTAATGATAAGAGAGAGGAGGAACCAGCTTCTAGTAAGCATTTTGCTGACCTGAGAAGGCGCAATCCTACTTTCCCATTGCATGAGACCGTTGAGGACCTCATTAAGCAAGAATGGAAGAAGGCTGAAAAAATAATCACTATTCAGAGTTGTTTTTCTAAACTATGCCCTTTTAAGGCTACAGACAGTAACCATTGGGACCTTGCCCCCAAAGTAGATGCAGCAGAGAGTTTTTCAGATTCCAATCCTGGAAAAGTGGACTACCCTCTTCCAAAACCACCCTAGGACGTGGTGGCAATGGCAAGCCTTCAAAGCAATTCTGATGGGACGCCAGTCCAGCCCTTGGGAGTGGGAGCAAGACTTCTTCACTTCTACGAGGTCTGGGCTCCAGCAATACAGGACAAGTGGGTTTTAAAGGCCCTAAAATCCAGCTACTACCTTGAATTCTCAACAAACCCTTATCCCTGGTTCATATCTACAAGCATGCCTATGGAAACAGAGAAAGCTATTCGGTCTTTTGTTTCTTCCCTTTCAGCAGAGGAAGTTATATGTCCTGTTCCTGCAAAAGAAAGAGGATTGGGGGTGTATTCCAGATTTTTTTCTCACTCCGAAAGCATCAGGGGAGTGGAGACCAATTTTGGACCTTCACGAATTAAACAAAAATCTGTATGTGATAAAATTCAAGATTGAATCAGTAAGTTCCATTATAAAAGTCATCTCCCCAGGCGACTGGTTAATCCCCATAGACCTTTCCAGACGCTTACTTTCATGTTCCTATTGCTCCACCACACCAGAAGTTCCTGAGATTTGCGATTCACCATCAGCATTTTCAGTTTCGAGCCCTTCCCATTGGCCTGAGCACAGCTCCCAGGACTTTCTCAAAGATCATGGTTGCCTTAATAGCATATATCTGTCTGGAAGGCATCTCAATATTCCATTATCTCGATGACATCTTGATTCTCTCACACAGCAGAGATATTCTCTTTCTTCATCGAGATCAGGTTCTTTTAATTCTTCAAAAATTTGGATGGTTGGTAAACCTCAAGAAGAGTCAGCTCTCCCCCTCTCAAGTTATGATATACTTAGGGGCAAGATTCGACACAATGCAGTCACAAGTCTCCCTATCCTTGGACAGGGGGCTTCGTATTAAATCAAAGATCCTTCGTCTTCTGCCTCTAAACTCCATCCCGGCCCGGGAATTTATGAGCCTTCTGGGAAGTTTGTCTTCTACAATAGGCCTTACGAGATGGGCCCAGTGGCATATGAGGATTCCACAAGAAGGGTTTCTATCCCAGTTTGCGAACAAGGATCTAAATCAAGCAATCTCTTTATCATCAGAGATCAAGAAGGAACTGGCATGGTGGCTGATGAACGAGAATCTATATCAAGGGTATCCTCTGAACAATATCCATTGGGTTACTCTCACGACGGATGCATGCCAATCAGGTTGGGGAGCTCATTTGGGCCTTCTTCATGTTCAGGGGCAGTGGGAAAACAAACAGTATCCTCAATCCTCGAATGTTTTAGAGTTGCAAGCAGTCTTCCAGGCTCTTCTGCACTTTCTTTGTGTGAAACAAAGTTGAGTGAGAGTAAGGATAGACAATACCTCTGCAGTTGCTTACATCAATCATCAGGGGGGTACAAAGATCAAACGCTTAATGAAAGTGTTGACCCCACTTATGTCCTGGTCAGAGAAGAATTTGAAGGGGATCAAGGCAGTTTACCTTCCGGGAAAGAACAATCAAGTGGCGGATTTCTTAAGCCGAGTAACCCTGGATACCACAGAATGGGAGTTAGCCCTTCTGGCATCCCAAAGCATATTACAGAAGTGGGGTTTTTCTCAGGTAGATCTGATGGCCACAGCGAAGAATCGCAAAGTGGGAAGGTTTTTCTCGCGTTACTTCGACCCTTTGGCGGAAGACCAGGATGCTCTCTGTTGCGATTGGAAGTTCCATCTGGGGTATGTTTTTCCCCCAACTCCTCTGATTTTCCCCCTACTAAGAAGTATCCTGCAGGAGAAAGCGACAATTCTCAAAGTGATTCCTTTCTGGCCCAGGCGGCCTTGGTTTCCCCTGCTGCAGAAACTCTCTCAGGACATTCCTCTGAAATTCCCAGATCAACTCTCTCACCCATCTCCTCAGTCTCTCAATTTAAGGGCTTGGAAATTGAGAAGCAACGTCTCTCCAGCAAAGGCTTCTCTTCTTCAGTAATTTATACTCTTCTGAATGCAAGGAAGAAATCCACTTCTTCAGCTTACAATCATATTTGGGACATCTTCTGTAGCTGGTATTTGGCACATATTATTTCTCCTGTGTCTCCCAGTATCTGTGACATTCTTCAATTTTTACAGGACGGATTTGACAAGGGTTTGAGTCTCAGCTCCCTAAAAGTGCATACTTCAGCGATCTCTGCTCTGTTAGATCGGAAATTGGCATTTGATCCATATATTGCTAGATTTTTTCAAGCCATTCTCAAGCTTCGCCATCCAGTACGGTCTTGCTCCCCTCCTTGGGATTTACCTCTGGTTTTACAGGCCTTATCTGATTCTCTGTTTGAGCCCTTGGAGAGTGTTTCTATACTTACTCTTATGTTGAAAACCGTTTTGTTGGTTGCCTTGACCTCAGGTAGAAGAATCTCCGAGCTAAGCGCTCTCACCTGTGAGTCTCCCTTTTTGATTCTTCAGGAAGACCGAGTGATCCTTCGTACGATTCCAGCTTTCAGACCCAAGGTGGTTTCTGCTTTCCATATGAATCAGGACATCATTTTGCCAGCCTTTTTCCCTCATCGCTCATCAGAAGAAGAAGAGAAATGGCATTGTTTGGATCTGGTGCGCTGTTTATCTACATACCTGAACCAAATTTCAGACATAAGGAAGACATTTAGATTGTTCATTATTCCTTCAGGTTACAAGAAGGGTCAAGCCGCTTCTTTGTCTCATATTGGCCAATGGATCATCTCAACCATTGGTCAGGCCTACTCAGCCTCCGGAGTTCCTGTCCCTCAATGCCTAAGAGCTCATTCTACCAGATCCTTGGCCGCTTCTTGGGCAGCTGCAGCCAACATTTCTGCAGATCGTATTTGCAACATGGTCCTCCCTCAACACGTTTATCAATCACTATCAGTTGGATGTAGTGCATTCATCTACCACAGAATTTGGTAGACGTGTCCTCTCTGCTGCCTTACAGTTTATGGATCAATAAACCGTATTTGCATGGATTTATGCATTGTGGTTATTATTCTCCCTCCCTTACTCCTTTCAGCTTGGGTATAACCCATACATAGTGCTGCCATGGATATATCCAGGAAAAACAGAACATTTTTGCCATACTTACCGATATTTTCTTTTCCCGGATATATGCCATGGCAGCACTGCGATCCCACCCTCTTCTGAAATCATGTGTTGTTTCATGGCTTTAAACGAAGACTGAGGGGGTCTCTTTTATTTAGGATGTGTTCCTGTCCAATTGAAAAGGGGAGGAGCTATACCCATACGTAGTGCTGCCATGTCATATATCCTGGAAAAGAAAATATCGGTATGTATGGCATAAATTTTCTGTTTTATATCTATCCATCCGTTCATCCATCCATCCACTTGTATTTCCATCCATCCTCTATCATCTACTATATATATTGTAACACTATCTATCTATCTATCTATCTGTCACAATATATCAGGGTATTTTAATAAATAAGCAAATAATTTGACATAATACTGTGTAAAAAATGACACTAAAACAAAGCACAGCATGTTCAAGTGTCACACATTTGTTCTTTTGACCTGGTTTTGTAGCTGCCCTGAATAGTTCTTGTCTACTTACATTTTTATCTCTCTGGGGTGTAAAATAAAACCAGTATGCAGCATTCAGATGAGCCATAGATCATGATTTACAACCACGAAACTGCAAGCTCTGCAGTTTTCAACAGGCAAAATGTTAATGTGATGCCATTTTTTAAAAACAGAATCAGGGACTGAAATGGCTTTATGTATAATATCATTGTAATTGTTACTTTTGCATGCTTTGCTAATGAAACACGTTTATATAACACATGTTTATACAACTGCATTTTGCAGTTAATGCTAGTTTGTCCATGGTTTTGTTTTAGTGATTCAATGAATTCTAACTATAAAATTATACATGCAAATGCATATTTACAAATTTACAAACACAGTTATTCTTATTAAGTATGGTACAGAGATGGTATACTACCTTTGTTAAGCACATGGGAAGAAGATACCTTACCTGCTAGAAGGGAGGGCATGTAAATCAATTAAAAATAAGCCAATATGGGTGGGAAAAGCATGGACAAGAGGGATATTGTTTCTTTTCTTTTATATCATCGAAAACAGTTATTTGTGATGAAGTTAATTCTTCCAAAAGGAGGATACTGAATGCTTGGAATCCACAGCTGAATCTTGGAATCTAAAACTGAATGATGGATATACAGAGCCACAATGGAAATCCAGTTATTCTGAATATGCTGGTGGACAGTTGTGAATGAAATCATATTGAAGCCAATATAAACCAAAGATGATTGACACCTGCTAACTTATATAAATAAAAACTTTAAAGTCGAGACAGAAATATAACTGTGATTAGCACCATTCTTACAGTGAGTTCCTTGTAAAAGAGGTAACTTCATATAGAAATATAGGAATGTACCATAAAAATAGCAATACAAAATAAACAAACTAAAACAAATGGGGTTGAGATGGTTAAAGCACCAATACTACTACAAAACTCATCAGCTGATAGCTCTCACCCAATTAGTACAATCTTGAAAAGCCAGGCTTAGTGCAAGGCAGAGAACGTCTGGCTGTCTTACAGGAAGTGACTGGTATCTGGTAGAACTTAGGTAAGTTTTCAAACTGTTAGAAACCTACTTACATATGGGGCAATCTTGGCACCATAACCACT